TGTTGAAAGACCCTGGAAGGTGCAAGCAGCCATTAGGGCTGGGAAGGGAGTTCTCTGCTCCGTGTCCTGCTCCAGCTGCTGCTCCTACTCTGGGGCAGCTGCCCCTACACTGCTGTCTCCAAGAGTCCTTGGAAGGGGCAGTGGTGGCTGGGCACAACAAGATAATAACCCAGTCCAAGCACAGGGAGCAGGGAATGGCCAAGCTGGGCAGGACACAGAAGGAGGCAGACGATCCCTTCTAGGCAGGGGAGTGTTTGGTGATACCTGTGCTTCGGCTTGAGGCCGTAACGTGAGTGATCGAACCTGGCATTCAGCTTCTTCTCCATGAAGTCACACGTGATGGAGGAGCTGAGCAGCCCCTGCAGGAACGTCTTCAGGCGGGTGGTTAAGATGGTGTCGATGGGGTAGCCCTGATCTCCAACGCGGTTGAAGATCCACGCACCCCTGCGGGTGCTGAGGAACACCTAGACAAGGAAGGAGGATCTCTGCCTGAAGGTGGGGCAGTCCTGGGAGGGCTGCCCTGCGGGGGACGTGCCCTTGCCCTGGGATCACTCTGCTTTTAAAGCAGCGTGGGTAAAGACCCAGAGGGCAGAAGGAGCTGGTGGCTGGCATCTCGCAGGGGAATAGGACCAAGTCTCAATTGTCTGGCAGCTGGGTTTGGCAGGAGTTTGGCAGCACTGCCAAACACAGCGAGTGCTGACATGGAGAAGCAGCTCTGCAAGTGCCTTGGTCCTGGTGTCCCTGCAGAGCTGACAGTGTCCCACAGGGGCAATCCTGCTCGCTGGGACCCCCTACTCCTGCTTACCTGCTGGGCTGTTTGGCTGATCTCCACAGCCAGGTCTGACCCCGAATTCCCAATCCCGATGACAACAACCCTTTTGTCTCTGAAAGCCTGAGCATCCTTGTAGTCTCGGCTGTGGAGGTAGCGGCCCTTGAACTTCTCAATTCCTGTGACCAGAAGGAGGAGGGATGCTTGGCTTCCTGGTGCCAGGTTGGAAGATCACCCCCTAAAGACTGGAGACACTCCCTTACCCCACCAAACCACTCCTGGGGAGCACAGGAGCCCGCAGCAAGGCAGGGAAATGTTGAGGCCAGGGGGAAAGCAGCAGGGAGAATAGGGACAGGCATGGACTAGCTTTCCAGCGTCTCTGGTGTCCCCTCACACCAGTGTACAGGGCCGTACCTGGGAAGGAGCCGAGCGGGAGATGAGCGTTGGTGTGGTGCCCACTGCACACCAGCACGGCGTCGAAGACGGCCGCCTCCTGCTT